TCGAAAAAATATTTTGAAGTCTTAGCTCCTGGTGCCTGTGAATGTGACTGTATTTAGAAATAGGGTCTTTGCAAATGCATTCAAGTTAAGATTAATTAACTTAATTAATTAGGAACACACTGAATTAATCCGGAATTGATTGGATTAGGGTGGGCATTAAGCCAGTGTGACTGGTATCCTTATAAGAAAAGACTCACAGACACATGGGGACACCACCACATGACAACAGAGGAAGAGACTGAAGTGATACATCTATTAATACAAGCCAAAGATTATGAAGAATTGCCAGCAACACCAAAAGCTAAGCACAGAACAGATTCTTCCCTAGAGCCTTCAGAGAGAGAGAGCATGGCCCTGCTGACACCTTGATTTCAGAGTTCTAGTCTCCAGAACTGTGAGAGAGTAAATTTCTATTGTTTTAAACCACCTAGTTTATGGGTTTTTGTTACAGGAGCCCTAGGAAACTACTGCATATGCTACAGATTATATCTGAACATCTATCCCAAAACATACAAAGCTTGCCTTCTTATAGTAAAGCTGGCACCACTCAGTAGGATGTTCCTTTGCACAATATGACGCTCCTGAAGGTCTTTGTTATATCAGATGAATACCTCAGTGCTCTAAACCTACTTCTGCAGTTAGTCTTACTATTTGTTACAGTATCACAAAAAGTAAGACATTCAATTCATGAAAACTCGTTAAAAAACTGGTCAGATATTTATATTGAAACCCAAGCAGGGAATCAAATGATTAGATGACCAAGACCACTCTCTGTGTACCAGCCAGAAGATTTTTAGACATTTACAGCTAGATTTTAGCCTCTCCCAAATCCTGTCTGGTTACAGTGGCAAGAATATACGGAGACAGACCAGACTGTGTTTAGGCAGGAATGGGGGGCTGGCTTGCTAGATTCAGAATTAGTAATTACTGACAACACTCCAAAGAATAGTGAGAAAAATACATTTTGGCTGAAAATCAATAGTTTGCCTACTCATTTGAACATTGTATATTTTGTGGTGGATAGTTTAGAAAATGCTTGGTTGTGAATATGTGCAACAACTGCTCTCCCTTCCAGCTTTCTTACCATAGGTCCCATCTTCCTCCTCTCTGCCCTTCACCTACCCTAGAAGACTGCTCTGTAAATTCCCATCCCATATCTGGACAACCTGAAATGTAGCAGCGTGCTGGTTAAGCCCAGTCACATTTAGGTTCTGGACTTCAATCCCAAAGAAAACCTCAGCGGATAATAACAATGTATCTATTGTATGGGGTTGTTTTGAGAATTGGATGACAGTGCCTGGACTATAGTAAATGTTGTGGGGAAAAGAATTTTTACAAAACAGAGAGACAAGGAGCAATGGCCACACCTCAAGTTATTTCTGACCACCAGAATCCTAAATGGAGCTCTGTAAAAGCTAGTGAACCCTGGAATATCATAATCTTTTAATTCACAGAAACAGACAAATGTGAAAAGTGGTCCTGATAATAGAGAGGCATCAAACAGAAAAAACAGGAGTAGTGAGTAAAAATTTCCCACAATTTCTGAGAGCTTCAGGAGCTCTTAAATAGTTCTTAAATGAGTGTTTGATTCTTTTCCCTAAATCTCCAAGTTGCCTTTACATTGCTCAGGACTGTGGGGTCAGCAGCTGAGTAAGGTGACAAGGGAGAAGAGAATGCAGATTATTATTTATGGTGCTCCTATATCATGCATTATGTTTCTGGGACAGTGCTAAGCAATCTAATTCTGTGAATTCCACAGAATCCACCAGGAGTTATAACTGTTATCATAAGCCTTCTAGTTGATGGGGGAGCCCAACGAGTTAGGTTATTATTTGAAGTTCTTTTCAGATTCTTCAGTATGACACCACTGCATTATAAAATCACAATTATTAGATGTCAATTTTACAAATATTTTTATATATTTTCTGTTACCCTGAGAGCTTATATTAAAATAACTTGACACTTTATCTGATAGCTGACTCATATTACTGCAGAATTGTTTTTAAAAAATAAGGCAATAAAAGGCAGCCACAGGAAAAATTGACAATTAAGAATATGTCTTTAAATTCCTTGTATAACACCTGGATGTTTTTCTTCAATATGAATCTGTTATAGGGTGATGCTTGCTTAAAAGGAATTGACTCTTCTATGACTTTTCAGAATAGAAGAGAATAAGTTAACCTCTGAGTTACCTGAGGTAAGCTGAATGCAATGCTTCCTGGAACCACTGATGGATGAGTCCTCAGTGTGAATGTGTACCTGTGATTGGGAGAGGTCCTCACAACCACATGCCTAAAAGACAGAAACACAGTCAGTACTCCATATCAAAGGAAATGAAGAACATAATTTCCAAGTGTGTTTCTTTCTAAACTGATGTTTGGTAAGTATCAGGTGGAAATATGGCATCATATGAGTCTTGAAGGAAAAGAACCAATTTAGTTTCTAAAAACTGTCAGCGATTCAATGTTTTCCAGACATAAAGGAGCACCTTGGGCCAAACACACAATACGTAGAATCCAGCCAAATTATCATGCTTTAAAAAAAAGGCTTATTGGAAAGAAAAAAAAAATTAAAAACAACGAAGTAGAATCCAGCCAAGTTCAACAGAGTACATACCATCCCAAATATCAACTTCATTACATTTCTAGTTTACATAAAACTGAAGCTAGCGATTCACAGTCCTTGATATCAAGCAAAAGCTAGATGAATTTCCAATCCTGAAAATTATTTCACATCCTAATAAAATAAAGGTAGGAGAATCAAAGAAAGAAGAGGTAGGATGTAGCAGTCAACAACCCCAAAAGTTAGCTTTTAGGACTATTCATTATATCACTGTGCAGACTTTCTCAACAGGTTGAAACAACCACCACCTATAAAATGAAAAGGATGGCAAAATGAAAAATTTCCCCAAATACATCAGCTTTCATATAGATAACAATACTTACTATTTCAAGAATTTTGTTCTAATTCCCTGCTCAGAAATTACTCATAAATAAAATAGTCATCTCAGGATAATCTCCTACACCAAATAAGTAACAAGGACTATGCTTGAGATAGAAGTTTCCAATTCCGTTATGCAATAGCGCTTTTTTCTTTTTAAAGAGAGCGGGTCTCGCTATGTGCCCAGGCTGGCCTCGAACTCCTGGGCTCAAAAGACCCTCCTGCCTCAGCCTCCCAAGTAGCTGAGACTACAGGCGAGCACAATTGCACCCAGCTCACTATCTTTTTTAAAATTATCTTTCACAATGCTATAATTTTTAATGTTAATAGTTAATGTTGCTATATATATTACTTTCCACTAGAACACATGTTCCTTATATATATTTTAAGTAATCTCATGAATACAATGAACATTTAACATATGCAAAAGGAATCCATAAACAAATTCTTACATTGATTATCTATACTTCAGTTAACTGTTGAAAGCCCTGTGTTCAATTTGGCATCACAGAATGCTTAGCACTGGAAACAAAGTTAATACAATGATATAGTGCAGACTCTTACTGTGAAGCCCACAACCCGAGATGATTAGCAATTCTAATTCTGTGAAACCCAGGTATTTTACAAACAGCTTTAGAAAAAAAAGCAGCGTTAAAATCCTTCCACCTTGTTTCTTATCTTTGTTTTGGTACAGACCCTTCATCTCCTTAGCTGTACAACCTCAGAAGCATATGGTTAGCACTGAACTTGTAGCAGGGTCTTTACAAGTTCTGGCGGTGGGTGATGTGAATCAGTGAAATAAATTACAGTGAGAAATGCATTTAAGGACTATACATTTGTTGTGTTTCTTCCAATTTTCATGTCTTTTGGATTATCATAGTAATAATGATCGTAACAGCTAATATTTATTGAGGGCTTATTAACAGGCAAGGCGCTGTTCTAAGTGCTTTTTTGTGTAACTTAATTTTCACAACTACTCTGAGGAAGATATTATCATCATCTCCATTTTACAGATCAGGACATGGAGGCACAGAGATGGTAAATAACTTATCCGCAGTCACCTAGATTGTAACTGGCAGAGCCAGGATCCAAACTCCATCAATCTAACTCCAGACCCAAACACCTAATAACCATGCTATATATGATTCACATAATGAGTATATTTAGCTCTGCTAAGAAAATTGGTAAAAAATAAAAAGTTATATATAAAAAGCTGTATAGGATTTTTAAAACATTATACAATACTTATCAAAGTTTGACAAAGTAATGATTGAAATGCATAACTCTTTCTCAACTGTTTGATTTTCCAAATCAGCAAGAATAATAAAAAAATTATTTTCAAAAATTTCCTAAAAATGACTCTATGGAAGTTTCCAAAATACCACTTAGCAGGTTAAAGAAAACAAAGTCAGATACTCACTGGCCAGACTGGAAATCCCTTTCATTCACAACTGCACAGTTAGTTAAAGATAATTCATCTGTAGGACATCTCGCAGCTTGCATACTCTGTAAGAATCAATGATTAGGAAAATAAAATTAAGTCATGTTTTATCACCTTAAAGATTATTTTATACCTTCCTGTCCTCTATTCTTTATCACTACCAATGCTGTGGTGAACATCTTTTGTTTTTGACTCCCAGCATCTCTTCTTCTGCAGCAATAGCAAACCCTTTCTTTGGGAAACTGTTCCTGCCCCATTTCATGTGGTTTTGTGGGACTACCAATCACAGCACACATGCAACCACACATATTTCTGTCTCACCCATGGGATTTTATATTGTCAGGGTTGCTCTTTGAGAGGTGTCCTGGTTCTTTGGCTCCTTGCTTGGAAAAATTGCAAGCAAGGCCAGCGCAACAGAGTGATGCTTCTACACAAGCAGCTTTTATCGCAGGCTTCAAGCATGCAAAGCAAAAGCACATGTCCGTTTCAGAAGGAGAAAGGAGTCTGTCTCTGTGAGTAGAGAGGTCTTAACACATTTTAATTTTTATGTCTGCACCTTATGATATGCTAAATGTGGGCCAAATATTCATTATTTTTCTGGGAAAAGAGTGTTCTTGGAGCTAAGAGCGCTCCCCAATTTTATCCTTATCGGGTAACTTCCAGTGTTGCCAGGGCATTTGTAAACTGTCATGACACTGGTGGCTGTGATTTTTACTATGCTAATGTATATTAATGGCGGGAAGGTTACCTTTGGTCATGAGCTCCTAGTTTCTGTGCATGTTCCTGGCCTGGCAGGAAAAGTCCCTAACCTCAAATTCTTGCTGTTGTGGGTTTGATTCTAGATGCTCATTGGCCTCCTCATATTCACGCCTCTCCTCTTTTCCTACGGTTAGCACTGCCAACCTGCACCTGTCCCTAACAATATCTACAAGCACTAGAAGGTACTCTTCCTTGCCACATCACCACATGGAGAAAGACTTTCCACTCTAAAACAGTAAAACTGTCAGAGACACAAACTAATAGATACATGAAAACACAGACCTGGCAACCAAGTTAAAGTCCTTGAGACTAATCCTGAATGTAGGTTATGAGCCAATAAATTCTTTTTTGCTCAAGTTTTTTGAAATTGGTTTTCTCTCTCTCAAGAGAAGAATCTTGACTGATAAAAATACAATGAAGTAAATTCAGTAAATTTGATAAAATATATTATGAAAAAATATCTTTTTATTAGAGATCTCAAGTGGCTATGAACCATATCTCCTATAGATTGAGAAAAACCATCTTCTAAATATGGCTCAACAAAATCATTACAGGGTATATTTAAAATAAAAAAACAACAATCAGGCTTTTTGGTCAATAGCTACTGGCAAAACATTCCCTCATATAATATATTTAACCAATAGCCCCTTTCATCATTCTCTAGGGCTTCCTAGTGAGCTCAGGAACTCAGTCATTGTCTGTTTATGAGGAAAGAGCTCATTCCTGAAACCTCAAGCCAAAGCTGATTATTCTTAAATTTGTCTCCCAAATATGAAATTATAGGGGGAAATTATTACGTTTTGCTTTGCTTTTGTTTTAAAAGGCTAGTTTTGTTATTATTAGTTGTTTAGGGCAGTAGTCTCTAAAGAGGGATATATGCACTCGAAGGGTTTATAAAATAATCCTTTGGTGTGTAAGAAGAAAATACTATTAGTTCTACTTATATTTATTTTATACCAATTTTTATTGAAGATGAACCTCACTTTAAGTGTATATTCTGCCTTAAGATATAACCTAACGGCACTAGCAAAGTCCTCATAATCTGCCAGACTTTTAAGTATTCACAGCAAGAGATAAACCTCTATAATTTTTCCAATTATGTTTAAAATCATATGTTATTTAATCTAACACTTCACAAAAGTGTATGAAAGTAAGTGTCAAAACTACTAAGGAGTTCCTAAAAGACAAAAAGCCATGGACCATAGTAAAAATGGCTGACGTGATACACAGAAAACAAAATGATGACAAATATATTCTTTTATTAGAAATACAGTCAAAAGATCTTAGAAAACCCTAAAGAGTGGATGATATAAGGACAAATTACAGTGTGTAAAGTTTGTTATATAGTTGGATCAAAATACAAATGTCTCTTTCATCTTAGGGTATTTGCTGGGTAATTATGAAATACACCAAGAACTACAATTTTGTAGGACTACGGTCCTCAAACCCCGGGCCAAGGACTAGTAGCAGTCCGTTGCCTGTTAGGAACTGGGCCACCCAAGCCAGCGAAGCTTCATCTGTATTTACAGCTACTTCCCAATGCTGGCATCACCGCATAAGCTCCGCCTCCTGTCAGATCAGCAGTGGCATTAGATTCTCATAGGAGCATGAACCCTACTGTAAATTGCACATGTGAAGGATCTAGGTTGCTTGCTCCTTATGAGAATCTAATGCCTGATGATCTGAGGTGGAGCTGAGGCAGTGATGCTAGCGCTGGGGAGTGGCTGCAAATGCAGATTATTATTAGCAGAGAAGTTTGACTGCACAATAAATGTAATGCGCTTAAATCATCTCAAAACCATCACCCCCACCCTTGTCCGCGGAAAAACTGTCTTCCATGAAACCAGTCCCTGGTGCCAAAAAGGTTGGGGACCACAGTGTAGGATACCAAGGAACAAAGTACTGAAGAGGATATATTCTCAACTGAAAATGAAACAATGTGCTTTATGGGGAAACTGTAACCACAGATGGAAGGACTGCTTTGACCAGAATTTTTTTTAAAAATTCCGGAATAGTTTGACCAGAATTTTAAAAAAAGAATTCCAGAATTACAAAGATA